CTGGCTGCAGAGGATGATGATTCTGAGCACATCGGCTGCACGGGGGGAACGGGGAGCATCAGTGCAAGGCAACGTTAAACATGCCTTTACATACTAATGTGCTGTCTGTTGATCATGTTAAGTATGTGTAAGTTAATGAAGCTGAGAGAGAGGTGCTTCTAAATATATAATGGTGATCTATACTTGTATCTGAAGGCTAATTATCTGTCAGATTGCATGCTAGGGACTGAAAGTCTGAATCACAAATAACATTCCACTTATAGCTATAATTAATTACTTGAACTTAGCAAACAGGGAAGCTACTTCCTTGATGACTCTAAATCTAGAACAGTTTTTAAAAGGTATTTTTATTGAATCCCAAGTCATCAAAGTAAATACTGCCATCATGGGATAAAATACTGAGGCTGACACTGATGAAGGAATCCAGAACAGACATCAGGATGACTGAACCCTTCAGGCTACTGCAATGCTTCGATGGGATGCTAACCCCATGTTAGGAGGGGTCAAGACTGAGTTTCTCTTTATGGGTGTAATGCCCATCAAAAAAAAAAAAAGCCTTAAAGCTTACTGAAGTAACTATGAGAGCCCATATGGGTACACTAACATGGAATCATCCAGCCTAATCTGTTAAACTATTATCTTTCTGCTCTAGATCACCAATTACCCAAGAAGCCACAGGAATCTAATTCTTTCCAGGTGGTTTAAACATCAAACTATTTTCCATCTCCAAGACCAGGGAAAACATCTGATCCAGAAAATCATTCCAAAAATCAGGTAGAAGAACTTCCTGGCACAGTTCTAGGATGGGATTTCACACCATGAAGACACTCACTACAAAATATTTGTCTCCCGAAAATACACGCTCTTCTGTTCCAATTCCTAATCTGGAGCTGTTAAATCACCTGCAAATTTAGCCTATTTGTGGGCACTTGGTTTTTTCAAGCTGTGAATTGCAGTGTCATCCAAGTGAGCTACAGCCAAAACAATTCATTGCAATCACACAGAGCAGCCAAGAGAGCAATGCCCCTTGTTGACATTGAATAGGGCCTTTAATTAAAATCACTATCAGTAAGAAACAGTCATTCACTTTTTATTATTATTCTGCTCTTGGCTCCAGATCGAGAGTTCTCATTTTACAGCTTAAAAGAAAAATGTGAAGGACTTTATGAATCACCAGGTATTTAAACTGAAGAGATGTTTAAAGTAGCCAGAAGAGATCACTGGTGAAGATCTCTAAACACAACATGGAGAAGAATACCGTTATTCTCCTGAGATGAGACTGAGAAGCCCCAAGTGCTCCCACTCTACCTCATGGCAATATATTCACTGGAAGAGCCAGACAAGTTTTCCTAAGAGAACACATGCTGTTGGGGCTGATTTCTGAGGACATTATGAAACTCACTGGTATGTAACCAGATTCCTGGAGAACAATGGAAATATAGTTGAATTTAGCCACAAAGGTAGACTCCAAAAGAATACAGCTTCTGTCCTAAAAAATGAAGTATTAATAGCTCCATATGTCTGCGTGGGACTAAGCAGATTCAATTGGAAAAACTAAAAACTGTTCAGTGAGAAGCACAAGAAGCAAGCATACCACTGAGATACACTGAATTTTACATCAGCTTGTATATAACAAGAGCTGCAAGCTCTCATAGATTCGGGATATTTATACCACCCTTTTGCTGACAAGAAACTAAAGCTTTTCAAAATTAGGATGCTGCTCCTTTTATCCTTTTTGTATAGCTCTGACTCCATGCCAGCATGGACTGGAGCAGCAGTGTCTCTGACATCCGATTTCCTGACTCTCCTTAAAGGACTCTGCACCGAGAATGAAGAAACTTTGGACTCTACTGCACACAGAGACAGCCCAGAGACAGCCCTGCCTTCTGGGTGCTGCAGTAAGTATCTGTAATAACACTTTCTAGCATTCACACAGGATGGTATCTCACAGGTTCATTTGTAGCAACCAGGTAAAAGGTTCCTAGATACCTGTAGGATGGACTGGCTACATAGTGCAACAGAAATGAAATTAATTTGGCCTTATTTAAAAAAGAATAAATCCTCAACCTAGGTTTTTACCATAAGGAAAAAGACTCAGTGTTAAAAATGCATTAATAAGCACATAAATAGCCATAAGCTCATTGTTTCAGAGTTGTTCTGCTCTTTAAGCTTATGTCCAAAGCTGTGGTGCACCAGAAAGCACGTGCAGTCCCATTACTGAGTCAGTGCCACCATGAGCAGCTCTCTGCTGCTGGTACTCAGAACTACAGTCTTGATGCTGCACTGCTGCTTTGGACTTCTGAGCACTTGTCAGTACTTATGGACACTTTGCACTCAACTGCAGGTGCATAAATCACACAGTCTCCAGCTCCTACACTGACACTCTGATAAAGTCAGGAGGCAGAGACCTTGACAGACACCAAGTTGAACACAGGTCCAAAGTGCACTCTTGTGGTAATGCAGGATGTATATAAGAAGTATGTCACCAGCCCTTGATAGAAAGTGACTTCCCCTCTCCTCATTACTCCCATCTGCACCTGCAGACCTTTGGTGACCAGTTTGGGGCCATCAGTATGAGAGAGACCCTGCCAAACTGGTGAAAGACCAAGGAGGATTTCTAAGATGTTAGGGGCTAAGCAGGAGGAGAGGCTGGGCAGGCTGTGGTGAGGTTGAAGGAGGGCAGGAGAAGGGAGGATTCAGTTGCTGCACTCCACTGCCTGAAAGGAAGTAACAAGAGAAGATCAAGATACACTCTTCTCAATGAAAGGACAAGAGAGAACAGACACAAGCAGCAAGATGGGAAATTCCATCCAGATAAGAAAAAAATTCTTCAGTGAGATTGGCTGAGCCTTGGGACAGGCTGTGGAAATGCCATCCTGACAACTATGTACAACCTCAACTGATTGAGGCTCTGAATAACCTCATCTAACCCTGACATTAACCCTGGTTCAAGCAGGAGGCAGACTACTAGAGAGCTCTCTCCACCTAAATTTGGCTGTTACCTCTATGATGCTGCAAGCACAGATGAACCATATTTACTTTCCCTTTGAAAGTATTCATTTATAAAAACCAGTTTCTTGACAGAAATCTGACTTTGAAATACCATGATCTTTTTTTACTTAATGCTGACATTTACCTCAACAGAAATCAGCATTTCAATTATTATATGGAGATAACAAATGAGATACAGCACACTCAACATATGGCACAAAAGCCCAAGGCAATCATCCATCCTACTGACTGTGCTGGCAATTGCTACTTAGCACTTTCCTAAGGTTATTGCAGAAAAACAGTCTAGACTGCTATTCTCCATCTGCAGATGGGGAACCTTTCATACAAATGGTCACACTTCTGCTTTTGTAGGCTCTGGAGAGTCTATGATTCCTTTTCTGCCACGTGATTGTATATGAACCTACAACAATACTGAACTGTTGGCATCGCTATTGTATATTATAGATCCATGTCTAATCACACAATTGGAAATAGCTACATTTTCACTGTGTGACAGCTGTGTACTCAATCTGGTGATTGAACATGGATGCATGCCTAGGGAAAGCTGTCTGGGAGAGGATGGAAGAACAATTCACTTGGACTGCATCAGCCTCCCTGAATTCCTCTTATGAAGCCCCAGCTGAAAAAGGACAACAAGCTATAGGCCAGAATTACTATTTTGACAGATGAGATCCGGCTCCTGGCCGGAGCTCCTCCGTCCCAGCTGAAATGAAGAGCTGTGAGTAACATTGCAACTGCTTTAAAAATAGGCTTAGTTTTAAGAACGCT